ATTTGCATAGTTTATTCATAACCAGAGATATAAGAACAGAGCTAATCTAACAGTGATATTGAGAATACTATAGCTCTAAATTTAAGTATGTAAACAAAGTCCATTTCTCCGAAAGGGGGCCAAAAGCCGCTTGAAGGGGTCACCTGTTTTAACCACTCGCACCACTATAAAGTAGTGTGTTGTCTGTCTGTCAGTCAGTAGACACTATAATGACGTCACATAAGGGACGTCAGTAAAACATGCGCATGCCATGAATCACGAGAAGAATTATGCATTCTGTAGGCTACAACACAGCATGACACATGAACTTAAAAAGCAAGAAATAAAAATATTTGTTATTCTTAATTTTGGTTATACTTACTCTTGAAACGGAATACTTTCAGGGATCCTGCGGAAGTATATCTAGTCCTATGTATTCCTGTACAAGTGCATATAGTGAGAGCCAATCTAAACAATGACATTGAGGATGCTCTAGTTCTAAATTTAAGCCTGAATATAGAGGGCATCCTATGTGCTCCTATATAAGTGCATGTAGCGGATAAACTCCGAGGATCTTCTTTTGATAGTGACATCTATGGTAGAGAGGAGAGGACCTTCTACTAAATTCTCCTTATATTCTCAGTGTAGCAGCCACTGGAAGAAATTTCAGACCAGTATAACCTAGGAAGTGGACTACAAACTCTTATGATGTTAAGAGAAGTGCCAACATCATTGAGACACGTGACTTTCCTTTAGGTAGACCACGGACCCCAGAAGCAGTATTTTACAAGTAAGCAGATGGATCACCAGTAAGGCAGTAAGTTGTATCATACAAACCATCTCCATTGTACTAAGTGCAGGCACATTGAAACCATCAACCATAAAAACCTCCCAAGGACCAGAGGAGTTGTGTATTACGTCACTGGAGAAGCTTCTAACAGATCTCAGCTACCAAGACCCAGAGAGACCATGGAATCTCTGCCACTCCACTGTATCCACATGGACAGACAACTGTGCAATGTTGCTGAGAGAAACTGGAAAATAATGATGAATTAGAAAAGGTAAAGACAGGACCTCACCAAAGCCATGGAAGATCTAAAAAAATCCTATGGACAGACAACTGTGCAATGTTGCTGTGAGAAACTGGGAAATAATGATGAATTAGAAAAGGTAAAGACAGGACCTCACCAAAGCCATGGAAGATCTAAGGAAGATATGCAGCAGGTTTCTTGGTGGACGACAGTTCACCGCCATCTTGGAACTCCTCCTGGTCTGGTTTATGGAATATGATAATTCTATTGCAAATATTGTAATTTAGTCGTTTTTCTTTTTTTTTTCCTTCAAACAACACATATTACATTTTTGGTTGTTAAATTTCACGCAAAGCTACATCAAATTCATAGGTAAACTTATGGCTTCTATAATTTTGAAGTTACAATATTTTTGCGAAAATCATAATTCCAAAAGCAACATAGGAAATTTGTTTTTGTGGTGCATTATCCCAAGTTAAATGAGTAAGTCTAAAAACATGATGAAAAATTATGTTCATATCGTTTTATATTCCTCTTACAAGTGTAAGAAATGATACTGTATATTATATATTAAAAAGTTAGTGTTAAGTGGCAATGAAAGAAGCTACTCAAGGACTAGCTGGGCTATTCGTCTCCATTTTTGAAGTGATAGACCGGAGGGAAGGAAACTAGCCAACATCACCTAACGCCACCTCGTGGCTATTCTAACCTATTAATTGGATATGGGCCCGGCATGGCCAGGTGGTTAGGGCGCTCGACCAGCAATCTGAGGTTCGCGGGTTCGAATCCCGGTCCCACCAAACATGCTTGCCCTTTCACCCGTGGAGCGTTATAATGTGATGGTCAATCCCAATATTCGTTGGTAAAAGAGTAGCCCAAGAGTTGGCGGTGATGACTAGCTGCCTTCCCTCTAGTATTACACTGCTAAATTATGGACGGCTAGCGCAGATATCCCTCGTGTAGCTTTGCACGAAATTCAAAAACAAACAAGCAATGATATATGGTCGTTACTCTTATGATACACCTATGATTCCAATGTGCAGAGCGCAATTTCTTTCGGTGGTAACGGGATGCGAACCACGGATCTAAAGTGTGGCACGCTTTTCTAGTGTGCTTATCAATTGCAATATTTATTTTCATTAATGTATTTAGTATTATTTAACTCGATGTAACATTTTGTGGAGGATACACCTAGGTATATATTATATATTGTCTCTCTGGAATGCTTTTCTTTTTATCACTATGAGAATGATCACACCGGTGTTCTAAACGTCGTACCAATTCTCAAAATATTCTTCCTGACTTTAAAAGCTGTAACTTGTAATACAATAATACTTATAATAAGTAAGAAAACTCAACAAGAAAATGTTAAGATTGTTGCCATTATTGTATTGTTCCCATAAAGACAAAACCAACAATACATCAGAAACAATTTCTGGAGGATTTTTAGCTCGAAAATAGAAAACCAATAACCAACAACATATGGAAGACAAAGATGTATTGGTGAATCGTTTCCGTAACGCTTCTAACAACTTTTATAAACTTCTAATAAACATCTGAAGAGAAAAACGAGAAATTTAATTTGATATCTATTTTTTATTTATTATAATTAAATGCTATTAAGCTTGCTCGGTGATTTGATAAACCGTATAAAAAAAAAAGCTAATATCGTATTTTTAGTTCTGGGTTAATTCAATCTAAAATAACTCCGTTAACCACAACAATATGGGTTAAAACGTCAAACTGAAATTGATATTTATTTTAGTTTATGTTGACTAAATGCTATTAAGTTTCTCAGATACTTGATAAACCGTAGGAAAAAGGTAATATCACATTTCTAAGCTATTTTAAGCTATTTTTTTTATCTAAAATAACGCCGTTAACCACAACAATATATGTTAAAATAGACTCTGTTGTAGACTTTTTTTTGTCAGGAGCCTTCATTGTTGTTTTGAATTTTAAAACCTTAGGTTTTGTGTCTTATTTATTGAAAAACGCTTAACATCTAAACTTTCATTTCGAAAAAAAAACAAAAAACCAAAAAAAAACGCCCCCAGTGGCACAGCGGCATGGCTGTGGACTTAGAAAGCAAGAATCCGGGTTTTGATACCCGTGGTGGGCAGAGCACAGATAGCCCATTGTGTAGCTTTGTGCTTAACTACAAAACAAACAAACAATCGAAAAAAAACCCAAACGATATCATAATATCTCCTTATTTATAAATCAAATTTTTGTTTTATTTATAAAAGTGGAGAAAACTTTTCTATTTTTTGGAAAGCCATTAAAAGTCAGATATTTTCTTCTTCTTCATGTTAACCCTATTTTACATCGATAGTTTGCACGATGTTTTAGTGAAAATAAAATGGAATGGCGGAGTTTCACTTTTATTCTTTCTAGTACAGAAGTTATTAAATATCATACGTCAAGTAGGGCCTTTAATCATTCATAAGAAACACGAATAAATATAAAGGTTGTTGGGAGAGGGGGGTATTCCTTAATCTGTAAGTCAAATTGAATTTTGTGAGTTAAGTGCAATGAATGATCTGGTTACAGCTATACTGTTATGCGCATGAACAGTTGGATTTTCAAATAACGAACAGTGTTGGATGAATTATTACATTTTGACAATAAAGTTAGAAAAACATGTCCTTTACTCCACAATAGCTCCCCAGTGGCACAGCGGCATGTCTGCGAACTTACAACACTAGAAACCGGGTTTCGATACCCGTGGTGGGCAGAGCACAGATAGCCCTTTGTGCTTAACTACAAACCACAACAACAACTACTCCACAGTTAATGATAAAAAAAAACTTTTATTTCAGCCAACGTTTCGCCATTACGGCTTCATCAGAGCTAGTAGTATAATAATTTGTACTAGTAGCTCTGATGAAGCTG